TGGCTCTCGCCCACGCACTTGTTTTCCGACTCGAGCCTCTCTTGCTCGCATAGGCATGCATGCTAGCTCTTGCTGTCTCCTCTGGCCGGGAATTTGCATCCGAGAGAATAAATAATGACAAGTACATAACACAACACGGTGTATCGCCATATAATTATTAGTAAAGTTTCGTACATAATATCTCACAGGCGACGCTCGAAATATCAAGGCAGCGTTCTTGGTGTGTCTGTTTAACGTCATGCCGGCCATTGTCTTACAGTTATCATCGATCTGTCTCTTGTATGCATTGTCATCTCTGCAATGTTGCATTAGTGTCCATGGATAAAATAGTATCTTTTAGTCTAAGTTATAAAAAATCGTTTCTAACACCAGGTTTAGGCTTGCGGACCATGCGGCTTTGCACGATGCAAAATTATTAAGTAGTAGATAGAGTGTGGCTACTACTATGTAGACGCACGTATATGTCTGTGGAGATGTTAACAAGGAAATAAGTGATTGTAGTGATAATATCTTATGGCTATACGAACATTATTGTTGTTACAATACTATTCTGTGGGCTTATTTATGATAAACATTTGATTTACTCTCCGTGGTTTAGCTTTTAATTATACCATGAAATACCATCACCCTCGCTAAGACGTTGCTGTCGATGTCATATCTTATCGTGAATACGACCCCCATCCCTAGCAGTCATCGCTCTTGCGTGAAGGTTTTCAAACTCGGTCTCGATTCGTTCCTGCATCGTTGTCTGTACGGGGGTTTTCAAGTTGCTAAGCCTGCGTCTGCGTGTACAGATTATTACGTCGGGTGGTGTTTCAGTTGCCCATAACGAGAGCTTACCAGGGGGTAGTAAAGCGCAGCGTGCTCTGTGTGCCCTACTCTATGTGTTGGCTACTAGTTGCAAGGAAGCATTTCATCTCTTCAAAATCTGCTACCACAATAAGAAGCTTCTTAGCCACACTTGATCCCTGCGCGTCATGCCTTCACAGGCCTTGCACAGTATTCTCGTAGATACAGAGAAGTAACCTTCTCGGCGGATTTTCGCTTTACACTACTGCTTGCCAAAACAATGAAAACACGCGGGAAATCTCGCATTGCTTGTTGTACGATAGCCTAAGTACTGCCCCTGATCTGTCCTTAAGATTCCTCCTTAATAGCAACGTCGTTGAGTTAACGAGACTTTTGTGAAACGTGGAATCTTAGCGAGGCTTTTGTGAAACACTATTTAGAAGGATATCTTAAAACCCCTCTTTAACCCATCACTAACTTAACGAGCGCTTCGTGAAACGGCCCCCTGATTAGTTAGGAGATTGTAATATTAGATCTGCTTATGATTGGTGTGAGAAAAGGATGTGACAGCAGGACAGAGTATGAGTGAAAAAGGTGTAAAGTGTAAAAAATTGAGAATGAGCAAGCGAGATTTCTATTGATGGTAAAGATGGCCAGATTACAGTGTGTGAGTGATTTCGTCAGTCGTATTATCTGTGTACACTTTCTGCTACTAAAATAAGTAGCTGTGTATTATTGAGCTTGGGTCGAAGAGGGGGTAGGAGTATGACTTCAGCCCCGTATTTCTAACTTTGGGATGACATCACATTGAAAGATGGGCTGATTAGAGAACGGCGTGATCGAGATTTAAGATCACATAGCCAATCAGACACACTTGTTGTTCGCTACCGATATTTCATCGTGGCGTACGTGCCTTCACATCTACCGCTCGCCCGATCTGCACTGCATCAGCACCGACCGTTCAATGTAATCTTGTTCCAGAGAGGCGGCGCCGATAGCAAATATTTGTCCGCAAAAGTATCGTAGCTGTCGTTGAGAGCGAGGGAATCCACGAGGGGAAGGAACGAATCGTTGCGAATCGAGCTCGCGACACTAATGTGTGCGTGTGTGCGCAAAAAGCGCGGGAACGTTTTGATTCACACTAGAATGCTGCACGCGGGGGAACGGCGGCGCGTTTTTGCTGCTGGTGCTGCTGCTGCTGCTGCTGCTGCTGCATGATCGACGCATGTAACTAGTATGCAGGAAACCGGGTCACTTACTGTACGTGCCGTGCACTCTGGGATGATTCCCGGGGTGTCCGTGACCACGTCGTGGCACGTCGATTCAATCTCTACCTGCAGACATTAGCTGTATTCTTGAAAAGAGGGAACGAGAGACGCTCAAGCTATTGGCTGGCTAGCGCCGTCGGATCCTCGAGAGATTTTTGGTGAGGAATTTCATTGGGGAGATTGCGCTCACTCCATCAGAGTAGTTCACTGATTGTGATTGCTATTTCGTTTGCAGCAGAACCGAGGTCCACCCGGCTCAAATCCTCTCATACAGAAGAATCGCAAGCCGATCTGTGAGAACGACATCGAGAATTATGCGCACGCAAATCTCAACCGCCACAAGAAGGGTCTGTTTGGCAAGAAAGTCTCTGTTGCCAACATGCTGTCCTGGTCAAAGGTAATCTATGCGCACCTATCCTTAAGCCAAAGGGGTTTAAGTTTTTTTTGACCTTGTTGGAATGTACCCCTAAATAAGGCCATAAACCTAACCCTAACCCAACCCTAAGCAAAAGTCCCAATAAGTCTCAAAGTTTCAGTACCCAGGAAAACATGTATCCTTTTGGCTCTAGCTGTTCCTTATTTACATAAGTGTGAGTGCCTGTACGTTTGTAATTCAGCATCACGTGTTGAAGAAGACACCTCTATGTGAGACCAAATATTTATAAAGACAGAGGTATTACGTTATATGCATTTCTGTGTGGGTAAGGTCATGGCGTGTTTAATGCCCACTCTGGGTGCATTCAGTATCTTGTACCTGTAAATGTCAGGTGAACAAAAGCTATTCATTTATCAACCATACTCGCGTCCGTTCTGATAGGGGTAGTATAATATGCCGTAAAGGTTTTATCGTGCAATTTTTAAACTTGCCTGAATTTCGAGTTATATTTAATAGCATGCCTTTTGTGTTTGTCATCACTAGAGATGTAAAATTGTGCCTGAAATCATAATAATAGTCAGGCTATATAGACACTATAGCTTTTAGCAAAGTAGGAATCGGTAGCGAACAAAAGCATTAATTGACATAGAGCTACAAATGTAAACTTTGGAAAACATCACTTAATGTGCAGTGTATATGCTATTCAGACGTTCAGACCTGCTGTATGTCTGTAAATATGATTCCTTTGTAATCCACCAGGTGGCGTATATTAGCTGTAGCGTCAGCGTTGTGTGCACGCACGCGTGTTTGATTCATGGCAGATCAACAAAATTATAAATTTTTGTCTCTAGTAGTGTGTATCACTGGCGCCCACAGGTCTTAAGAAAGTAGAAGCACAGAAAGAATAAAATCCTCAGTGATCATAAAAAGCAAGCGCCGTAGGCGCGCTGCATGCTAGGGGGGTCTGGGGGCATGCCCCCTGAACATTTTTGAATGGTAGACGTCTGGAGATGCAATCTGGTGAGCCTTGCGAGAGTGATTTAGGAACAAAATGTAGGAACAAAATTGTTTAACCCAAAATTTACTGGAAGCACTGTGCTTCCAGTGCTTCTATCTGCGGGCGCCACTGGTGTGCATCATATATTGCGTGTGTTTTGTCCATGTGTCCGCATGTGTGCATGCGTGCACACCTATGTGTGTGTGTGCATGTGTTCGTGCATTAATTCGTGTAATGTATGTTTACATTAATTCACCGGCATGCATTTCTTTTGAAGGAGCCACTCAAGAAACCGATGATTGCGACCAGTGACAAGAAAGTGAAGAAAGAAGCTCTAGAGATCTTTAAACATATCCTTTACCGTGTAAATACATCTAACATGCTCTGTCGGAGAGCGCCTGTCAAAGACATGAAGCCGTGTAATCTTTTTTGTTGACATTGTGGACCGTCCAATCTTGCCAATCTTCACCCCCTGCTCTCGCCAAGTCATCGGTGACATTTCGCGCTGACTAAGCAGCGGTGGTGTTCACGTCACGTACAGCTCGAAATGAAATGCTGACGGTCACTGAAGTGCTACTTGACTGAGGAGCCAGTAAAATTTTATTGGCTTGTGACAATACCTACGCTATGCTTTATTTGTGTTGTAACTACGTGTGGATCCGTCGTACGGGACGTAGTTCTGACGTTGCAAGAATGCGGATGCAGCCATAACTTGACTGGTCTTTACGTGAAACCAGTAGATATGAAGTGAATGCTAAGTGCTCGTAAAGACAACCTATCTTACGGGAAAGAATTTTCCAGACAAGTTTACATCCGTTTGGTTCCAGCTACTAGATCAATCCTTCGAGTAAAATATAATTATTACAATAACTACCATAAATGTTCAGTTCCATAAAATATCCAAACAGCTGGTTTCCAATCCTAATCGGTCCATCATTAACTTTTTCTGACTAGCTGAGAGGAAGGTGGGTAGACACTATAGAAAAACTAAAACTAATATACTGTCTACATTGTGAGCAGTCTCATGAAGGACAACATTATAATATCAAACGGATTTAAATTTTAATGTTTTAAGTTGCAAGTGCTCTTGTCAAAGAAATGCTGACGACACAATAATTGTTTGAAACCTGATGTTATCCCATTGAACAAATGGTAACCAAATCAGTCTGTGTTTCCATGATCTTATTTACATGTGTCATCATGTTTCATCATGTTAAATTAACCTTTATTATATTAAATACGTGTATCATTGACTCATATTGTAATTTGCCATTTTCCTTCTATCTGCTAATTTTTCCGTTGCCCATTAAGTCTCAATTAAAGGATTGTGTTTTGTTTTTCCTCACTGTCCTTGTTTGTCTTACTAAGTACTGCGATGTATTGGTGGGTGAGTATTTTGCTACGTTTCTTGACTGCCGCGCACTAATTCAGATGTATATGTGTGATCGCAAATTGAAGAGTGGTATGACTCAGCTTGGCATTGCACTAGACTTGGCAAAACGGGGTTGGACGAACAAGGGTCTGCGAGATGAGCTGTACATCCAGCTATGCAAGCAGACGACTGACAATCGCCGAGCGTACGTACATGTTGTTGCAAGCAATCTAAACATTAGACTCAATAAAAATTCATGTGCTCCTTCATTGGAAGGCAGAGAATGCATTTCACAAGAACAGAGTCGATATGGGTAACTAAGCTTGCCATGGCATGGTGCTTACTCAGCACGTATTCACTGTAAATAAATCCGGAAAAGTAGTAAAAGTCTGTTCAACTTTCACTGGCTTCATCATTGCAAACGTCGCTTAAATCTTCACATCTTCACGTTCTCTTCTTCAAGCGTGTGGCGTGGTGGTAATGCGAATTTACAGTTACAAACTTAATCATTGGCTTTGCTGCTACAGGGAGAGTTTGGAACGAGGCTGGGAGCTGTTAGCCACCATGTTGAATTTCTACCCTCCTTCTGTCAATTTTCATGACTACCTAGAAGGCTACATTTACAGAAACATGGAACCCTCCTTCAATCATCCTGAGGTATATGATACACACTGAGGTTCAGAGGGAGAAGGAAACACCTGTATATAATACCTCAATCTGTGAAACACCTGTGTAATAATATAGCCTAATGTTATTGTACAGATGTTTCATAAATTTATTTTATCGTGTTGTTGAGGCTCAATTGTATCATCACACAACTTATGCACGAGACCAACTGAGTGTCGTTTGATATGTCACATCTTACTGCTATTGGATGACACTTTGAGCCTTATATATACGCATGGTTGCACACGTGCTTGGGAAATAATTTAAACAGTCATTCACATTATATATATATATATATATAGTTAGATCAAGTTAATTATGCCATAGCTGAAGGCAGCAGCTCTTGCGATACAAATCTGAAATGAAAGTCTTGCTGTGGCTAACAGGTGCCAGTGAATCACTATTCAACACACTGCTTCAAGAAGCTGGAAAGGACGTCCAAGACAGGAGCCAAGCGTGGCATTAAGAAACCAGCGATGGAGGAGGTTCAAGCAGCAATCGTGAGTGGTTTGCACTATGCATACACTATGTTAGGTATCATCGATGTACAGTCTCAGTCTGTAACCCCTGGTAGAGTGTATGCTCTATTATAGCACACGTTTTACTACTTGTTTTGCTTTTACAATGCTCGCAGGTTTAATATTCGGGACTGATCCCAAGATTGGGCTGCCATTAAAATATTGGAAATATTATAATTTTTTCTTTATTTATTATAACTAACACATGACTGGTGCATGTACTTGAAATATGCAACAAGAATTTGTCATACCTGCTGGCCACCCCCTAAAAAAAGCTCATGCACTCATGTCTTAACAAATGACGGGACGAGGAACAAGTTGAGAATGACCTTGCTTCTGCTGCACCTTTTAAGTTAACCCTGTACATCTTTTGATCTCAGTGACCGTCCTCTAACTAGCTGACGAATGTGTGTGTGTGTGTTGCAGCACTGCATCTTCCATCCGTCGATGTTTGGCACTACTCTAGATGACATCATGGTGCTGCAGGTTGAGCGCTTTCCCAACAGAAACCTGCCATGGGTGCAAATAGCCCTATCTGAAGAGGTGCTCAGGCTACACGGCTGTCAGACGGAGGGCATCTTCAGGTAGGTGGCTATTGAGTGCACGCTGGAGGTCATAAGCTTGGTGGAGGTCATAAGGTCATATGCGGTACATGCACTGGCACACCGTGTTATACCACATCGGTTACAACGATAGCAACATGCTGCAAACTGTGGTCATTGCATTCCGTGTTTTTAACAAGTTTCAAAACATTTATTTTATTACATGAGAGCCATTGGTTAAAAAAATTACGTGTGTTCTTTGCATTAAAAACTTAACGTGGGCATAAAATACAGCCTAGTAAAATGGCAATGGGTTAGAATGCACCAATAAAATACCAGGATTTTAGGTTCATTCATGCTTCGCACCTCCTTGCTATGTTTACCCGGAAAAAAGAGAATGTCTGTCTGTTGTTCATGAACCATCGCAGGGTTCCGGGTGTCGCGTAACGTTCGTGTGTTTTTCTTCATGAACCATCGCAGGGTTCCGGGTGTCGCGTAACGTTCGTGTGTTTTTCTTCGTGAACCGTCGCAGGGTTCCGGGTGTCGTGTAACGTTCGTGTGTTTTCCTTCGTGAACCGTCGCAGGGTTCCGGGTGACATTGACGAGGTGAACGCGCTGAAGCTGCACGTCGACCAATGGCAGATACCGTCGAGCATCACCGACCCGCACGTGCCCGCGTCGCTGCTGAAGCTGTGGTACCGCGAGCTGTACGAGCCGCTCATCCCACACTCGTTCTACGATGACTGCATCAAGAACTGCAACGACGCCGAGTGCGCGATCCGCATCGTCAACAGCCTGCCCGAGATCAACCGGCAGGTGCTCTGCTACCTGCTGCGATTCCTGCAGGTGAGCACAAGTGAGAAGGGCGCACAGTTGAGGGGAGTGTGCGATAGAGATCGCAGAGTGGTTGGGAGGGGGAGACGGTGTCCGGCTTGGACGATATCCACGGCAATAGACCGCTGTGGCTACCCAACCTGGTTTATAACTGTATCTCTCCCTTAAATTCTGCGTTGTGTATATATCAGGAATAAATAATAGGAAATATTTCTGTTATCTACTGGTATATGCTTCCCTGTCTCACATGTATGTAAATTAAGTGGCCTTTGTGCCCCCCCCCCCCACCTTGCCCATGCTGCCTTGGAATTTCTGATTTAATCGAAAAACAACACTGCCTTGCCATAAAATATTGTTAATAAAATTTAATTTAATGAAATCAATCCAATGGCAAAAATCCAATTAACTTTAAACCAATAATGATGATAATAATAATAATAGTAATAATAATAATAATATTATTATTATTATTATTAAGCTTCAAATGAGGACGAGTTAAGGCGAACGTTACAATTTGACGGCGGTCGTGTTGCGCTGCAGGTGTTTGCAAGTCGGGAGCATGTCGTCTACACGAAGATGGACGTGAACAACCTCGCGATGGTGATGGCGCCCAACTGCCTGCGCTGCATGTCCGACGACCCGCGCGTCATCCTCGACAACACGACGAAGCAGATGAGCTTCGTGAAGACTCTCATCACGAGCCTGGACACGAGCTCGCTCGAGGTGATACTCTGAAGCCATGCTCAGCCCAGGCTCCACCCGCACCACCGCCACCCCAGCAGCTGCAGCAGCAGCACCAGCACCACCCCAGCAGCTGCAGCAGCAGCACCACCGCCACCCCAGCAGCTGCAGCAGCAGCACCACCGCCACCCCAGCAGCTGCAGCAGCAGCACCACCGCCACCCCAGCAGCAGCAGCAGTCGGGAGTACAGGTGAGATAGCCTCCCCGTCCGCACGCAGAGATGACGTAGGAATGGCGATGATCAAGAGGTGGCAGCAAACCGTGGAAGAAGAATAAAGGGCAAAGGTCCGTGATAGAGAAAGAAGTGGAGTGTAGCTCGTCGGGTCGGTCACTTGTTGGACGCGGTGTACTTAGATGCAGCTGTGACGTGTGAGGAGATCAAACAAGTTCGTTTATTAATCAAGCCACTTTGTACATAGAACATTGTATAGTTCTGATATTTATATTGTTAAAGGGCAAGTAGTTGACGTGGGTTTTTTGTTTGTTACTTGGGTATTGTTTATAAATGGCCTATGTAAGAAATCTCATTTTAAGATTCTGGGTGAAGTGGAATTCACTTCTGCACTTCACTACTTACAACGCACCCACACACATCAGCCTGGTGTTGCAGCGCGCACACGGCTGGGAGGTTATCGCCTTTCACATGCCTTACATTGCCATAGTGAAGTCACGTTAAAAGCTTCGCTCTAGATCTATCTATCTCTCTATTTCTTTCTCTATCTCTCTCTTTCCCTCGCTCTCCCTCTCCCTCCCTCTTCCTCTCCCTCTCCCTCTCCATCCATCACCCTCTCTCCCTCTCCCTCTCTCTCTCTCTCACTTTCTCTCTCTCACTTTCTCTCTCTCTCTCTCTCTCTCTCTCTCTCTCTCTCTCTCTCTCTCTC